TAAGGCACAAAAACCTCATAGTATAGTAAGGCACAAAAACATCATAAAACATCATAGTATAGTAATGTATAAAAACATCATAGTATAGGAAGGTATAAAAACGTCATAGTATACTAAGGTATAAAAACGTCATAAAAATATCATAGTATAGCACGGCATAAAAATATCAAAAACATTGTAGTATATTAAGGCACAAAAACCTCATAGTATAGTAAGGCACAAAAGTCTCATAAAAACATCATAGTATAGTAAGGCACAAAAACCTCATAAAAACATCATAGTATAGTAATGTATAAAAACATCATAGTATCGTAAGGTATAAAATATCATAAAAACATCATAGTATAGTACGGTATAAAAACGTAATAAAAACGTCATAGTATCGTAAGGTATAAAATATCATAAAAACATCATAGTATCGTAAGGTATAAAATATCATAAAAACATCATAGTATCGTAAGGTATAAAATATCATAAAAACATCATAGTATCGTAAGGTATAAAATATCATAAAAACATCATAGTATCGTAAGGTATAAAATATCATAAAAACATCATAGTATCGTAAGGTATAAAATATCATAAAAACATCATAGTATCGTAAGGTATAAAATATCATAAAAACATCATAGTATAGGAAGTTATAAAAACGTCATAAAAATATCATAGTATAGCACGGCATAAAAATATAAAAACATTATAGTACATAAAGGCACAAAAACCTCATAGTATAGTAAGGCATAAAAACCTAATAAAAACATCATAGTATAGTAAGGTATAAAAACGTAATAAAAACGTCATAGTATAGTAAGGTATAAAAACATCATAAAAACATTGTAGTATAGCAAAGACATAAAAATGTCTTAAAAACATCATAAAAACATCATAGTGTAGTAAGGTATAAAAACGTCATAGTATCCTAAGGTATAAAAATGTCAAAAAAATATCATAGTATAGTACGGCATAAAAATATCATAAAAACATTATAGTATATTAAGGCACAAAAACCTCATAGTATAGTAAGGCACAAAAATCTCATAAAAACATCATAGTATAGTAAGGCACAAAAACATCATAAAAACGACATATTATAGTAAGGCATAAAACATTATAAAAACATCATAGTATAGTAAGGTATAAAAACATCATAGTATAGTAAGGCATAAAAACATCATAGTATTGTAAGGTATCAAAACATCATAAAAACATCATAGTATAGTAAGTATAAAAACATCATAAAAACATCATAGTATAGTAAGTATAAAAACATCATAAAAACATCATAGTATAGTAAGGCACAAAAACCTCATAAAAACATCATAGTATAGTAAGTTATAAAAACATCATAGTATAGTAAGGCATAAAAACATCATAGTATAGTAAGGTAACAAAACATCATAAAAACATCATAGTATAGGAAGGTATAAAAACGTCATAGTATACTAAGGTATAAAAACGTCATAAAAATATCATAGTATAGCACGGCATAAAAATATCATAAAAACATTGTAGTATATTAAGGCACAAAAACCTCATAGTATAGTAAGGCACAAAAATCTCATAAAAACATCATAGTATAGTAAGGCATAAAACATTATAAAAACATCATAGTATTGTAAGGTATAAAAACATAATAAAAACATCATAGTACAGTAATGCACAAAAACATCATAGTATAGTAAGGTATCAAAACATCATAAAAACATAGTATAGTAAGTATAAAAATATCATAAAAACATCATAGAATAGTAAGTATAAAAACGTCATAAAAACATCATAGTATAGTAAGGTATAAAAACATCACAAAAACGTCATAGTATAGTAAGGCATAAAAACATCACAAAAACATCATAGTATTGTAAGGCATAAAAACATCATAGTATACTTAGGTATAAAAACATCATAAAAACATCCTAGTACAGTAAGGTATTAAAACATCATAGTATACTAAGGTATAAAAAGGTCATAAAAACGTCATAGAATATTAAGACATAAAACATCTTGGTATAGTGAGGCATAAAACATCATGAAAATATTATCATACAGTAATGCACAAAAACCTCATAAAAACATCATAGTATACTAAGGTACAAAACCGTCATAAGAACATCATAGCATAGTAAGGTATAAAAACATCATAGTATAGTAAGGCATAAAAACATCATAGTATACTAAGGTATAAAAATGAAATAAAAACATCATGGTATAGTAAGGTATAAAAACATCATAAAAACATCATAGTATAGTAAGGTACATAAACTTCATATTATTGTGACATATATACATCCTCTGGATACATGAAGATACAAACTTATAACATTACATGAAATACTCTTTGTAAAATGCAACTTTATTAAAACAACATACTCATAAACATTCTTTATGTTTACATATGATTTTTTTTTTTCTTATTAAATTTTAACATACATGTCTATGTATAATTACATATATTGGGATGGATATATATTTACAAACGATATATCAATAATATAAACCTATAATGTAAACAGACATACTAATATATACTAACATTTTTATTAGCTATGCATATATATCAATATATGATATTGTTCCAATTTATAACAGGTTTCACATATATAAGCTATGCTGTATACACATATATGATTTTACTTCATATGTACATATATTCACATATGGAAATTCAACACATGTATATACATTTGCGTAAAGTCAACATTTTAAGTCAGTCAGTCTGTTTGTTTGTTTGTTTGTTTTTTTTGTTTTTGGGTGGGGGGGGTTGCATCTCTCCCAGTGTTGAGACCAAACCTACTCCGCTGCCTGACAGTACAGTCCTGCTCGGACCCAGAGACCTCCTCTAGACCAGGACCTCGGTGAGTCCTGCTCAGACTCTGCTGCCCCCTGCTGGTCCAACTGCTTCAACAGAACTGTTCAAAAATACAAACCAAACATGAGGCTTTGAGCTCATACTGAGGAGGACATCTGTATTTAACAGCCTACAGATGTGGACTATTACATCATCACCTCCTCCTCCTCCTCCTCTTCTTCCTGTAGCTGCTCAGTGGTGGAGGAAGAGTCCAGGTCCTTCACTGAAGTAAAACCACTAACACTGAAATAAAGTCCCTGTGACTGTTTCACTGTTTCAGCTCTGCAGCTACTTTTAACCATCTGGCTACAAATAATGATTTTCATTATTAATTGATTTGCTGATTATTTCCTTGATGAATTGACTCGATTTGTAATAATATTTGGTTCATAAAAACTTAGAACATAGTGAGAAATACCGTGAGTCACACTGAAACCGTCATTGTGTTTTTTCCAAATGATTCAAATTAAATCAAAAATTATTAAAATAATGAAAAGAAAAAAAGAGTGGATCCTGACAAATGTTTTATGAATTAATTAGTTTGAAAAATTGAAAAAATAGTTTCCAATGAATTTTTTGTCATTTGATTAATGGTTTGATCGATCAGTTCAGCTCTGCTTGTACTTTGTTAAATTTATAACAAAGCATCATCTGTAATTTGTAAAGTGAATAAAGTTATTCCCTCTGACATGTGATGGAGTATTAGTTTAAAGTAGCAGGAAGTAAAAGTACTCAAGTAAAGTACAAGTACCTCTGACATCACAGATGAAGCAACAACAACCAATCACAGCTTCATGTGTCGTGCAGGTGTGACAGTGGATGTTTCAACATTAACCTGCAGCACTTCCTGTTCCTGTGGAGGTGTAACACTCACTGAAGTGTGTGAACTAACACAATCCAGAGAGCAACAACCTGAGTCAACGTCGCCCTCTGCTGGACAACACCAGGACTGACAGGTCCTCCGTTCAGTGTTCAGATCCAGGTCTTCATGAGTCCTCAGGGTGAGCAGAGGTTTCCCGACGTCAGTCTGGACGATTGTTATTATTATAACGTGAAGTCTGACGTGTCGTTGTGTCTCGGTCAAAAAAAAACAAACAAAAAAAACGAGAGAATGCGGATGGATTTTTAAAATGTGGTTCAGCAGGTTGAGGGAAACAGCTGCTCGTGGACCAGGTCCACATGAACACGACTCAGTCAAACGTTTTTCTCCATAAACATTTATTCTCAAGTAGTTTAAGAAAAAATAGATTTTTTTTTTTACAACGTTTTTCTTTATACGACTTTTTATACAGTACTTTCTGTGCATTTAGAAAAAACAACACAAACATCAGTTAATGAGGCAGCAGATAGCCGGCTGCTCTGAGGGTCAGCAGGACCAGCAGGAACCAGCAGGAACCAGCAGGGACCAGCAGGAACCAGCAGGGACCAGCAGAACCAGCAGGAATCAGCAGGGACCAGCAGGAACCAGCAGGGACCAGCAGAACCAGCAGGAACCAGCAGGGACCAGCAGGAACCAGCAGGGACCAGCAGAACCAGCAGGAACCAGCAGGGACCAGCAGGAACCAGCAGTGACGCAGAACCAGCAGGGACCAGCAGGGACCAGCAGGAACCAGCAGGGACAGAAAAAACACAAAGGATGCAGGAAAGACCAAGAAAAGCAGAGAAACTAAAAACCAAAGAGAATCAGATTTAAACTAACACATTAAAACCAGAGCACGAGCGGAGAAGTGCTTTCTAACTGGAGCAGATGCTGAGAGCGTCTGAAATAAAAACAGTTTGTGTTTCATCAAAGTGCAAAATAAAAGAATGTGAGAGTGAGACATCAGCTGATTCTAACACAACCCGGTTTGTTCTGAATCAACACAAACAACAACAACAACAACAACAACAACACTCCTCTCAGCTGACCTACATTCACGCACGCACGCACGCACGCACGCACAGCACACACACACACACACACACACACACACACACACACACACACACACAGGTGGAGGATTGCAGTAACTAACAGTAACTGGACTCTGAACTTGAAAACATGCGAGGCGAGCGCAGAACTTTGGCAACACGTCAGGCTGAAGGTTGAGTGGCGACTGAAAAATACGGCAGACATCTTGTTGGCGATGTCACAGTGCGAGTGGGGGGCGGGGCCCAGCGGGGTCACATGATGTGTTTCTGGATGCCCGGGGTGAATTCCTTGGCGTTGGGGTTGAGACTGCTGTTCATCTGGAGAGAAGAAGAAGAAGAGAATAATGAAAGAGTGACATCTTCTGTCATCTGACTCGAGCCTCTGCTCACAGCTGGCCACATCTGCTCACCTTGTGTGACTCATACCTGTCTCCACTTCCCTCTGACCACCTGCAGTCTTGCTTGTGTTTTATTTTGAAAATTCTGGGGTTGTGTTTTATTTTGAAAACTCTGGGGTTGTGTTATAGTCTGGACAGAAAGTGAGACCTCTGTAAACGATGAGGTCACAGCCACGGTCTCTCCTGATTGGCTGTCATCAGCCTGGACTACCAGTGGTGAATACAACATGATGATGAATGACAGAGTTACTGACCTTGTTGTCTTTGCTAGCAGCTGTTGTTCACTTACAGTCTCTGTTTTAATGCTACAACTGTCTCTGCTGTTCCTCCTTCAGAGGCTTTACTGCAGAGGAGACAATCTACTTCCTGTTTACACCGGCTCGCACATGCTCAGTGCAGTGACTGCTCAGGTATGTGTGTGTCTTCAGGTGTGTTAGTCTGAACAGAGATCATTTTCATTTTAAAATGAGGACGTGGTCATGTGGGCGTAGCCTCAGCAGCTGGACTGACACCACCGACACTCCTCTCCTGTAACTCAGCAGCCATGTTTAAAAGCCCAGTAACAAATTATTATTATTATTATTTATTTATTTTTTTTACATCTGCTGGTTTTACTTTTACTGTGTCATCACTGCACATTTCTTCATTGTGTTCAGTTTGATGCTGCTCCAGAACCAGACCTGGTTCTCTCTCCTCCCACCAACAAAACACCAAACAAACACATTGTGAAGGTCATGAAAACAAACCCTCAGAATGGACCTGACGTGTTGTGACGCTGTGTGCTACAAACAGTCAGGAACAAAAGTTCATGTCCAGCTCTGGATCCATCATGGTTTCAGCCCAGTTTAGAAGCCACGCCCACTTCTGTGTGACAAAAACCTCAACAGAATGACCGCAGCCAATCCCTATCCCCGATCCATACTGAAGAGGGCGTGGCTTCATCTAAACTGAGTTGAAAAGAAGGTCAGTGAACTCACCACGACGTCGAGGTCTGCGTCCTCGTCCTCGTCCAGGACCAGCAGACTGATCTGCTCCTGCAGCTGACTGACGGTCTGAGGGGGGAGGTCTCTGGACGGGATGAACCACTCCCACTGCTCCTCCTCCTCCAGCATCTCCTGGAAACAACGCTCGATGAACTCCTCCTCCCACAGCTCCTCCTCCACCTACACACACACACACACACACACAGTATGTGGGTCACACCTGCAGGCGTCAGACTGGGACATTCATGTGTTCATCAGTGGAAACACGTGTTCTTCCTTTAAGCATCAATACGACTCCAACATGTTAAAGACTGTAAACCTGTAAATAACACATTCAGAACCAGCAGACTGAACTCAGGTCAGTGTCTGCAGAGGAGACAGCGGGTCAGGCTCCAGCAGGAACTCTGGCTCCAGATATTAAAACAAATAATCTGTTCCCACGGAGACACGTGTCACATGACGGGGATGCCGCTGCAGGAGACGTTCAAACACACAAACACTGGTGTGTTTTCAATAATTACACGTCATAATGAGATGAACACACTGACACACTCCACAGCCACAACAGCCTGAGAAACCTCTTCATCACTGACCCGACGGTCCACTTTTACTTTATGGTTTAATCAATTAATCCTTTGTGTTCGAACAATGTCCTCAACGTCCCAGAGACAAAAGTTTCATCACGTGACGTTCAAAGACACTCAGCTGATAATCTGAGGAAACACAGAAAAGAAACATGACTTCAATCAGCAGCTGAACATCTCAACTGTTGCTATTAATAATCAATTAATAACTTCTGCTCTAGTTAAAGCTGCTCAGAGGACAGACAGACAGACAGTAGGACAGACAGACTGTAGGACAGACAGACTGTAGGACAGACAGACAGACAGGCAGACAGTAGGACAGACAAGACAGACAGATGTAGGACAGACAGACTGTAGGACAGACAGACAGATGCAGGACAGACAGACAGATGCAGGACAGACAGACAGACAGTAGGACAGACAGACAGTAGGACAGACAGACAGACAGTAGGGCAGACAGACAGATGTAGGACAGACAGACAGTAGGGCAGACAGACAGACAGTAGGACAGACAGACAGATGTAGGACAGACAGACAGTAGGGCAGACAGACAGACAGTAGGACAGACAGACAGATGTAGGACAGACAGACAGTAGGACAGTGTCCCCCTCTGTCCTACTGTCTGACACTCACTCATATCAGCCCTCTGGCTGCTGCGTGTGGTTCTGTTTTTCACACGGCTGTGGAGGAATCATGTTTGAATAAGCAGGTTAATTATGTCTCATGCAAACACCATAACACGGTCCACACTGCAGATACAGGTAGTGACAGAGCAGGTGTGTCCTCTGCTCCAGCCTGTGATGATAAACAACGACCTACACCCTGGAAGTAAAGGAACAGAACCGATGTCTACACTGGGTGTACCGCTACAGATGTTTGCTCCTGGAACAACAGCTGTCAAGAACTGTGCACACGGTGACTTTATATAAATAATATAAAGAACAAAGAGCAGGTCAGTTTCAGCTGAGCGTGTCCTCGCTCTGCGTCTCATTATAGAAAAGCAGCCGTAAACATGTGACCTGCCTCAGTGCGAGGAGCCGGGCCTGAGCTGTGACCTGTCAATCTATAACGAAGGAGAACGTCGTCAAAAATAGAAGCAAAATAACTCTGGATCTATAATCGTGTTCAGCACATACATAAGTTACAGTGTCGTGTTACCAGCAGCTGCTCGGACCGTCAGAGATGAGCTGTAGCCTGATCATGAGGGAATCACACAGATAGATTATTTATAAAGGTTATGATCTTTAACGTGTCGTAACAGATGCAGGTGAAGACGTGAGAGTCTCTTGTTCTTTATTCTAAATGGAGGTTTTGAGTGTGAGATAAATACTTCCTGAAACAACACCACCTCCACCCTGTTTGTTGTTGTTTAACACCTGAACCTGTCAGCAGGTGACACAATCAGGTCAGGAGGTCTTGGCCTGGATTTCAGCCTCTGACGTCACTTGGTTGTTTTTGTTGGTTGTAATTTCCCTTTAACCCGCAGGTGAAACACCAGACTCCATGTTAAAAAATAAGAGGTTTTTGTGTTTGTCGACACCGACTTCACGCTTGAAAGACACCAACACGGTTTTCGTGACGTGTCCTCCCTTTTTCACCTGTGCGTCAGGTGTGCCGTGGGCTCCGAGCCTCACCTGCCTGTTGAACTCCTCCTCGTTCTCCATCCACATGTACTCGGCGAACGGGTTGTCGTCGGAGCTGAACTGGCTGCTCAGGATCACCTCGTTGCTGATCGTCATGTTCGGGGCTGAGACGTTGCTGAGACTCGGGTCTTTCATTTCACTCCTCTCGCGCAGACAGACGGGGACAGTCGGCCTCGGTCGCTGCGGTCCGGTGTACGACCCTACAGGGCGGGAGAAAGGAGTCATTTGACGGTTAAACACCGCGCGCTTCGTCCGTTAAGTCACCGTCCAGGCTGTGGCTGTGATGGCCGCTGTCTGACAGACAATAGCAGGCGGCTAACGACGGTCGCCGACTCTGCCATTTTCACAGTCCTCAGACCAGAAAACGCGAGTTACGTCGACAGAAAAACACGATAACAAACCTCCAGCGGCTTCACAACAACCTGAACAAGGTGAACGTTGTGTTTTAATGGCTGAAAATACCTGACAAGCGGATTTCCTCGACGACAGAAGAATCAAACGGCCAACTCCGAGTCCAACTCTTCTCTGAGCGTAATGGCCGCGCTGCCTCTGTTTGTTTACATCGCCAACGTCACTCTGTGCTCGCTGATGATTGGACAAACCCTTTGCTGCCTTCACGTACTACAGGACCCGTTAAAACAACGGGACCGGAGCGTCGGAAACTAGAATACCGTGACGGTTTAATGACAGTTCGCAAATAAATACATAAAGAAACAAAATGTATTTATTTAAATAGATAAAATCAATAATAAATTCATTTATTTATTCAATACATTTATTCATGAAATTATGTATTTATATAAATTATATAACAATAAGATGATAAATAAATGTATTTATTGAAACACAAAAGTACTACGTTACAAATAAAAGTAATTTAAAACTGTAACTGTTTATTTCTGTTTGCTGATTGTGTTCTTGTCTGATTATGAGTGTTTCTTGTTTGGTCTGATAATTCATGTTTTCTTGTTTCCAGGTCTCTCTACACTAGGTTACATGATTAAAAACACTGTATATAAAAGCAGGGGCGGAGCCAGACATTGTAAACATCCAGGGCTTAACACCAACTTCAGTCTATATTCAGGCGACATTTTTCCCCCATTCACAGCAGCTACATGAACTATTTACTGTATCAAGACATTTGTGCTTCTTTGGTGAAAACATGAGAGTTGACCAGGAAAAAGAATCATCCAGAGTCTGCATCATGTTTTGAATCTACTTGTTCTCTGTCTCCATCATTCTGAAACCACAACACAACAAATGTTCATAAAAAGAGGCAAAAATTGTCTGATGTTACTATTTTGAATTTACATGACATCGGTGGGGAATGAATTTGGCACAAACAGCATCACTAATCTTGAAATGTACTAATCTCTGTTACACTGTGCTGCAGTAGAGTTCACAGATTTAATGTTTAGATGACAAATCTACATTTAAATCCAGACCATAATAGTATGTGCTGCTCTAACTGAGCAGACATAGATCCACAACAAGGCCAAGTAAATGTCTTCAATGCTCTGAACTGAATATGAGGCCGACAGAGGAACATTGACTCTAATGATAACTCCTCCTTCATGAAGGTTCAATGTTCAGTTTGTGTTCACACTGTTTCACAGACGTGCTGACTCAACTCTGTGCAGCTTTGTATTATGATGTGTTTTTCTTGAGGGGAAGAGCAAGGAGCCTGACAGGACCACATACCTGGGCGATGGCTTCCACAAGTTCACCTGGAACTCCTGAACCACAGGTGAGTCTGTTTCTCTCTGCAGCTGTTTTCTTCACATTGGACCGGACGGGGTTAAAGTTACCCTTTAACAGACATCATGCTGTTGTGGCAGAGGTCTGCTGTAACAAGTGCTAATGTTAGCTAATCATGCAGTGTTGCTACCTTGGTAACAGAAACACAGGTGATTTCCCTCAAGGTAATTAGCATTGTACCTGACAAGGAAACCAGATACAACAGTGAACACCTGGGTCCAAAACAAGCATCAAGCTCCAGAAACATGAAGCATCAACATGAAGAACCAGAAGCTGCAGTTCCTCTAACGACCACTAGAGTCTGGCTCCAACAGTGAGTCAGTCCCCATAGACTCCCATGTTAAAATGTCCAACTTTACAGCAGAAATAAACATGTTTGCAGCCTGGTACAAAAACTGTTTTGGTCTCTAGAGCTGATTTCCTCCTTCATGACACCTGTTTATATAACTCACCTGTTTACATTTTATTAAGGACTAAAGTTATGGAGAATAAACTGGCATAAACTGAAGTCTTGGCTCCACCTCTTTGACCATTTTAGGAAATTTCAGAGTTGGAGGCGGACTATGACGCCAAGATGGCCACAGTGCAGCAGTTCACTCGGCTTCAGAAACCTGTTGGTGACGTCACAGAGTCCATCTTTATTTATTTTTTTTATTTTATTTATTCAAACAAATAAAACTTTATAAACATGTAAACAGTTTTCTCTTTTGGAGAGAATGAGCAGGTGAGGTAAGAAACACATCGAGGGCTTTTGTTAAACCTCAACGTAAAATAAAAAATACTTCTTACAAAACAAGAAAGGAAAGAAGAAAACAGCTTCAACAACAGAATATACAGTGGAAGTGACACAGATATTTAAATGAATCCATCAACCAGAGACACAACAAATTAAAAAAACATTAAAACTGCAAAACACTATTAATTTACCCTGATTCCCACCTGAGAGCTTATTAATGCTTCTTTTAATTTTCTTTAATCAGGTAGTGGAAGGTTGAAGGTGTCCACCAGGTGTAAGTTGGTGTTCCACAGTTGTATAAGACCTGTATATTTAACTGAAATACTGCCCCCTGCTGCTCTCGGATGTGATAGAAAAGGAGATGCAGATAATTTGATTGTCTCGTTGAGTGAGAATGTTTGAAGGAAACAGAGAAATATTTGTTCTACTTTCTGGTAGATTTTTTGTTCAGTAATCTCAGAACCTCCAGATTTCATTTTCTCTGGGCTCGCTCCTCTGTGAATGATTTCTAGTTTTCAAACCAACACTTTAAATCTTTGGATTTTGTCTCCAAGCTGAGTCTTGATTTTAGGCATGTGTTGAGTGTTTGCTCATAGTTACGTATGACCAGTGCCAAACATGGGCAGAGAGACCACAGAGGTTGCGTTTGTATGACCATGTTAAACAGTGAACGTGTCGATGTTATGGTTGCTGTCACTATGAAAATCTATTGAAGTGATCCATGCAGACCATGTTGTGGCCTGATGTTCAGGATCTACATGGAAAACCTCTGGACACATCTGCAATCGTTAACGAGCACGACTGTCACAGAAAACAACAACAAACGGAAACCATGTGGAAACCATGTTGTTTAAATAAACATCAGCTGTGTGATCCTGTACAGACTGAACTACTGCGGCAGCAGTGAGACAGTTTCTCCAAACAGGAGGAGGTTCTGTCTACAACAGACACACAGAAACAGACTCATGATACCAGACTCCCAAACCCAAGGATACAGAGGTTTCAGTGAAGGTGGTGTTGAAGGTTGGAGGTGGATCATCACGTGAGTCAGAGAGGAACTCTGTAGAAGGACATGTCAGAGCCAGAGGGGACAGTCCACATTACACTAGATACTATGTCAGAGGAGGAAGAGGAGGGTAGTGAATGTTTTTTTCCTCATTGTGCCGGACATACGTAACCATCCACATCAGAGCAGAACAGACTCCAGGACTGATCGTTCAACATCCAAACCACAGTCTTACCGTTTCCTTCCTGTATTCCTCTGTAACTCCTGATATATCAACCATCCTCTCCACTCGACCTCCCCAGTAAGCAGGCGACCACGTCAGACCAGTATGTAACACAGCAGCTGAGGCACGGTCAAATCTTGTCTGGATGATCAGAATATGGACTGATCCTCCCTCCAACGCTGTCCACCTTCCTGTTGTTGTCAGACAGTTTGATCTCTCTGTTCACTGCTGTTTTGTGTCGATTGTGAGCTTCACAGGAATCTATGGAGAGAACAAGACACAGCTGCAGTTATTGATCATGTGATCAGTTATTGACAGTTTGATGATGGTTTGAATGTGCTGCTTTGTTTTGATGAATAAATGAAAAACACACTCACACTTCCTCAACCTGGAGTCAACCATGGGACTCCACAGGTCTCGCCCGAAAGAGGAGGGGGGTCAGACCAGCATGCAGAACATGGAATTACATGCTTCAACACACAGGTCACTCATTCTCTACCTTGTCCTGTCTCATAACGAGGCACTGCTTCTGTTCGTCTTCCTGTCCCTGGAGGAACCTGTTTTAACCTGAGCCCTTCCCTCAACTAAACTTAGAGCAAACAGATAGTCAGCTCCTGGCGTATTAGACTCCATACACAATACTATACAAACTCTTCTCTCTGTGTCGCCATTAATCCACGCCTGTCGACGACGTTTTTTCTCCACACAGACACTGATATTATTTGTGGAGACGTGTCACTATTAGGAACTGAAAGATTACTGGAGTTGCACGACGCCTGTCACTGAACTTTTACTGTCGGCTTGCAATAAAACCTAAAGGCCAATAAGAACTTCCTCAACCACCCTGTTCCAACAAGCAAACAAACAGAAAAGAGATGCTTGTCATGTTTCTCCTCCGACTCCCTCGTGTCTCTTCACACAACAAACATGGCCTGGTTGCGCTTATGACCACTTGTTAGGAAAACGCTCAACGAAAGCCTGTGACTGATGATCTTACGTTCAACCATGAGACGACTTAAAACGTGGTCAATTTGGAACTGAGCGACCTGGCTGAAAGCAAACCACAACAATCAATTCACATCCTGTTCTGAATTTGTTTCCTTTAAAAAAAACAAAAAGCAGGTAACAGTCTGAGCTGGATCAATAAGAGAGGTATAGGATCAGAATGGAGATAAAGTCCTAACAATACCCGTCCCCTATCCAGCTGCTTAATGTTCTGACTGGGAGGATGAGCACATCACAGTTCAAAACCTATCTAATTGCTACTATCACGGCCGACCTTGCTCGCCTGCTGATTAACCAGTGTTATTGAGTGCATTAATTGATTTATGTTGCACATGAAGATCAGTCACAAGCATGTGAAGGCATTACTTTCATGTAAGTGTCTGTTTCAAATTAGAAGGCGCAGCTTTTTCCAATCTCGTTGGTCCTTGTAGCTGATTATAAAAAACTCTCAATAAAGTCAATAAAGTCGCGTTGCTGCTGCCTGAGGATATTATACACTGAATAAGTAGTTGAGAAATATGTTTTCAGTCCTGACATCTGAATGTTCATTGATCATCCAGTCCTTTAGATGTTCTTAAGAAATTTGTTGTCGAATTAATCGATTATTAGCGATAAAATAGTTGATAATTTAATCGTTAGAAAAATAATGTTAGTGGCCACTCTACTTCAAGTGTTTAATGAAGGGTTAGTAGACTTCACTATCAGGACTGCTGTATTAGACTGCATTTAGTTTTAACTGCGGGGTTGTACTGAAATAAAGCAACTGACCACAACACCACCACACACACACCACACTCCCTACACCTATCACGTATATAAGTGAACAGGATCAAATCCTAATGAAGATAAATCTCCTGAATGCCACAGATTCCTCTAAAATCACTTCCAGTTTAT